CCACCAACTATGGCGCTTTAGCCAAGTAATTTCAAATCTGATTTTCCTAGAGACTTCAATCGCAACCTTGTTTCTATCTTTTGTGAGAAAATGAGGATTTGATCTTCATTTTTTAAATTTCTGCCATACTTTTCGAAGTAGCAAGCATTCTTCCAAACAAATTTTCATTGGGATATAGGCACTGGTTTTAAATTAAAGTTTACAAATAACAGTTGATTTACATAAATATTTTAATTTGATTAATCAAATCGCTAAGTGGGATTTAGGAAGTGTGAAGACATTGTTGAAGCCAGATTAAGTTCCTCAACGATGTTTTATCTGAAGGTGGCAAGCAATTTGTTCATGGAATCAAACTTGGTGTAATTAACGGTTTTTTATGATGACGAGCTCCATTTTGATTTGCGGGTTACGGCTCTTCTTGGCATATCTGAATGTTTTCTGCACTAGGACATGGTTCCATGAGTATGATGGTGAGTTATTTATGATAGCATAAATTTATTGACAATTTTATCATGTAATGGAGGTAACCATGCTGGGCTGAACTTGCAAATTGTTCTACTTTTTCTATGTTCCGCTGTGGCTGCTTCATAAAAGTTTCGTATTCGTCAGTTGACTTAACTGCAGATGATACTTATCGCATTCCATTGCTCGAATCTTTCTTTTGTACGCTGTACTCTGCAACGACAGAGTCACATTCTCATCGGCTGCGCTGAAACAAGCAATATGTTCACTGATCCGGTCCTCAGTTTTCCACCTGTTCTCCAACGTTGCTGCTGCCACTCCATTAGTTTATCCAATGTGCCATTTCGACATCGTTTTGTTTTGGTACAAGAAGATCTTTCTCGTGTAGCTAGGCGCTGCCACGCTGGTTTTGGGATCTGGAAACCGCGGTTATCCAGTAGCTGGTGTTGCAACGTGTCTGAACAGTACAGCGATTCGCTAGTGACCACTGGATCGACATCTTCGGTGCCAACGCTAAGTGCGAACAGCAGATGTACTCGAACTGCTTCTCCTACGGATTAAGTTTTTGTTAAGCCCACTGATTTTGTGAACGCAATCCAGTCGCAGTGGCACTCGGTCAGCAGCACCGTATAACAGTAGGGACCAAGCTGCGATCGAAGGTACATTCCAGATTCTCATTTGATCCCACCTTTCCGAACCACTGAATCAACGTTGAGGAAATTGAATTTCGTCATTTGTCCAATTCACCTGAACCGGATTTCGAAAAGTAGTTCCGGACTCAAGGAAAATTTCTTGTACGCTGAACTTATGAGTTCATTGACTTTTACGATTTATGCTCCCGTTTCGTCGACGCAGAGCATTTGGCCTATCGAACATGTCCCAGTAGTTCAAGGGCAAATGGGAAGAACGAACTTCTGGATGAAAATCCTGATGTGACGACTTATGCAGAGGCAGACAGAACAGTTCTTAAATTCTTCCTGCACATGAATATGAACGATTATGTTTTGAAACTGCTGATCTAGCCATCTGGAACAAAATAAGCGTGGGAATATCAGTAATGAGTTTCATCCCAAATTGAAATGTTAATGACATATCCTGATATGAAAATTCAGCAACAATTGAAGATATCCGTTTCCAGAAACCGTCGATCGTCGCATGATGCATTGTTTTAGAGGTTTTCCATCGGCTGATTAAATCAGGACATACAGTGAAACTGGATTAAAGATCCAGTTTCTGAATTTGTCGTTATACCCGTTGTTGTCTTGTGTCACTACATCTCCCTCAGGTTGTCGTTTCATCGATACTCCCATAAGTCACTGGCGTCGAGTTGCGTTCGCTTTAGGTGCCTTGTTTTGCTCATGTTGCAAAACAGGCGGAAAAGCAGGCAAAGTCGGGCGGTGACTTTCGAAAGTTTCACTCTCAGGCATGCGACGACGTGGCGCCTTCTAATCAGTTTCGCGGTGGGTCCCGGTCCGTCGTAAATCAAACACAAACCCTAATGTTTGCCTCGATAAGGTTGCATCCTTTGACGATCAGCGACAGCAGATATTTTATAAATCAATGTCGTCAAAACCGGTGATCATCATCGCCTGAACTTCGAGCTTTCATCAGTGTGCCCTGTGACGTTCGC